GTGAAGTCCAAGAAAAAAAAACAAATAATATAAAATATAATAATATAAAAATAAAATATATAAACAAAAATAAAAAGAATTCAAATTAAAGTAAGACAGTCGTGGTTTCCTTTAGAATCCTTATCTCTCTCTCTCTCTCTCTCTCTCTCTCTCTCTCTCTCTCTCAACTTCTCTTTCTATACTTCTCTCAACCTACAAGAAGGCAACCCTCAAATAAAAAAAGGAAGCAGAAGAATATACTGAACCTGGCCAAAAACACCAGAAGTTTGCAGGATCAAAGCCTACTTATTTGTAACTGAAAAAATACCAAAAATCAGGGAGGCTCTACACATAACTTCTGTTATAAAAACAAATGAAAAAAGAAAGGAACATCAGAAAATAAAATAATTCTGACAATCAAAAATTGACTCAAAGAGACTTTTGATATTAGCCGAAATAATGTTGGTGCCAAATTCTTGAGCCTGATCAAAAGGATTTAAACCTGACACCTCTGGGCTAGAGAGAGAAGGAACTAGCAGAGGACAGAACAAAAGAATGCTACTGCATAGAAACCAGCTATGTGTGACATAGGAAAAAGCAGTTAAGAGGTCATCTGTTACTGACATTTCTGCCCTGTTCATGGCTGAGAAAAACACAGTATATTGTCTCTGACTTAGTTTCTCACATTACTACTAACACTATCATGGTCTTACTTCAAAACAACCACTAATGGAAATTTCTCCAGACTGCTACCAATATCTACCTGATTAACTAACTTTTTGCTATGCCAAATATCAAAGGACTCACTCATCACTCAAGAAAATAAATAAAAATATATTATTTATTTTAACCCCAGAGTCAGTTCGATTTATGTCCTATGTTTCCAAAAAATAATTATCCTACCACCTATCCACACTGGTGACATTCTGATGGGAACATATTTGCCACAACATCATAGAGAAATTACAATAATATAGTGTCTATAGATAATACTAATAAGTATAAATGAGATGTTTTGGTAAAAGGAACAATATTAGTATAAAATATACAATGGGTCAGTGATTTTGACTTAGGTTAGGTTAAAAGAAAAAACGGTGAAGATCAGTCCTCATCTACTTATTAGTAAAATAAATACAATAAAATTAGTTGTATGGGCATTTTGTTATGGTGTAATGGTTAGCAAACTAGACTCATAGATCAATTAGTAGTGAGTTCAATCCTCAGCAAATACTCCATACTAATGGCCTTGTGCCAAATATTGCCATAAAATAGCTTCCCTATGGTTTTTCTATAAATATTTTCATGGTAATTGTGTTGGGTCACTCACATCATACCAACAGGGATAGCCTCGTGTTCACAGGAATAAAAAAACATACATGGAAATAACACAATAAATCATATAATTTTATTTATTTATGTGTGTGTGTGTGTGTTTTAGTTATATGTGTTTTAAGGTTGCATGCATCAAAGGAAGAAAGTCACTTTGTCTTATGACTGGCATGGTGCTGAGGAGAGGAGAGGAACTTCTTGACCCTTTGAGGGTCAATAGCGAAGAGAATAACTATAGCATTTTTTGGCACAGAGTCTGTTTTCCAGCAAGAAAGTTTTCTGTTGCATGCTGGGAGAACTTTTATTATTTTGGTTTTAATTATTTTATTTTAAACAAAGTTTTAATGTTATTTGTTTTATTTTATTTTATTTATGATATTTATTCTTTTTATTATTATTTTATTTTTATTTATTAATAATAATGTCCCTACAATTGTTCTGATGAGCTTTCCTCTTTGGTACCTAGTCTTTACAAATTTAAATGCAGTACTAGATTGGCAGCTAGGTCTCATCATTTTACAGGTGAAATGGTTAGATGTAACCATAAGTTCTATGCTAGCAATTTCTTCTCTCACACTTCTCACTTGTAGAACTCTCTTCTGGCTTCTTGCTTTCCAATCAATTTTGATCTTCAAAAATGTAAAAGCAATGTCAATCATTATTCTTTGTCTTCTTAATTCCTCTTCTTTTATTGTTCTCTCTCCTTAACTATGTTTTTCTCTTATTGTTTCACACTCAATAACTACTTGCAGCATAGTGGCTTTATTGCCTTAATTAGAGTGAAATGACTAAAAAAAATCTAAATTACTCTTAGTAAATAAGGATAAAATTACTTGCATAAAGAATAAATCATCAGTGAAATGAAAATTTGCACCTCTTTTCCTTAGAAAGTTTCACTTAATGTGATAACTGCCTTAATAATTAGACCATAGAAATCTCTGGCCACAGTCATTCAAATCTAATCATATAGATATTCTTTTTTTTCCTCACCTGCCATTTTTTTTTACATACTTGATGATACTTGTATTTGAATTTTTATTACATACTTGTGTATATTCATATTTGAAATAGACTCCCCATTTTATTTTTATTTTAAACATTGTATATTATGTGAAACAATATTCAATAAATCTTAATAAAGAAATGCATAGCCTGATAGATGTAATGCACACTTTTAAAATAAAAATAGGGCATCTGTTTCACATACAAGTATCCATTATAATAACATTTGAAGTGTTAAATATGTTGGATCAAAAATAAATTCATTAATTCTTTAGAAAATACACTAGTACAGTTGTGAACAGAATTATTCAACCAACCACTTCCATAATTTTAAATAAAGTTATAACACCTCAAATTTTCATGGAAACTTCATGTGCATTTTTTACAAATGATGAAATAATGGATTTGAAAGAATGTTCAATGATACTCACAACAACATTTTTATTCTAATGTCAAATAATAATACAAAAACACCAAAAAACATTTAACATAGGATAAAATTATTGGGCCTCTTGCCTCAATAATCAATTGTATAACCATTATTCTTGATTAGTGCCTTTAATCATTTTTTATAGTTCCTTACAAGATCACTACACACATTGATAGGTATTTTGTTCCTTGGCAGTAGCTTCTAGTTCATCCAAATTTGAAGGACTTCTTTCTCTTACTTTTTTCTTCAAATATGCTCATAAATTTTCAATGGGGTTTAGGTCATGACTTTGTGTGGGGTATGCCATCTATGTATTTTGTAACAATTTGTGCCATGAGTTTCAGGCCAGTGTCATGTTGGAACATCCAATGATGTTACAAAGACAAATTTTGTGCACTTTGTTTTATATTATTTTTAAGAATAGCCAAATACTGCTTTTTATTCATGATACCCTGGTACTAGTTCTCTTGGTCCAGAAGCAGTAAAACAACCCCAGAGCAGAATGCTCCCACCACTGTGCTTAATTGTAGTGATGGTATTTTTTGGGTTGTGAGGTTCATTCACTTTCCCCTATACATAACAGGAGTTCATGTGACCAAATAATTCTAGTTTTGTTTCATCTGACCATAAAACAGAGTTCCAGTATTTACTCCCATGTTCTAGATGGCTTCTAGCATATGCTAATCTGAATTTTAGGTGTTTAGCTTTGAGCAAGGAATTTTTCCTTGGTCAACAAACTTGAAATACTACTCAATGAAAGCATCTAGTGACTGTCTTCATCAATACATTCAAGCCTGATATCTTTACATCATTGACAATGTTCTTTGTTGTTAAGTGAGGATTCTTCAAGACATATCTCACAATTTTCTTTTCCATTCTCTCAGAAATTAACCATTTTCTCTCATTCCTTAATTTATTCTCAACACAATGGGTCTCGTACTTCTTGATAATGTTACGAATTGTCAATCTAGGAACATTTAAGCACTTGGAAAGTGTTGTATATCCATCATCTTGTTTGTACACATCAATTATCTTCATTCAGAGATTTTTGTCAACATCAGCTATGTTCACCATGGTTGCAGAACGAGTGAGTTGTTGTGGTACGTGACACTTACATATTGTCTCCTTCATTACCTTTTAGAATCAGATCAGTGCTATTGCATTTTGGTGTTTGTATTAAATGTCAAATTAAGAAAAGGAGCATTACATTTGCCATAGAGCAACGTTATTTCATAATTTCAATAAGGGTGGGGGTGAATAATTTTGGACTGCACCAATTTTTAGCAAAATCCATGACTAGGAATATAATAGACTGAAACTTCTAAAAATTTCATGAATTATTCAAAACTAAATATGGACTCAACTATTTATGGTAATTTCAGTAAGTCCTTGCAAAAGTTCACATTTCCTTAAGAAATATGCAAATATTCAGTGCGGGGGTGGGGGGCGAATAATTCTGTTCACAACTGTATGACTAATTCTTTATTTATTATTTTCATTGCCTGCTACCAACCAAGGAGTGATGATCTGAGAGTTGCAATAAAATGCAACTGAATTTAAAATGAAACAAATTTTAATAACTGTAAATAAATAAAAATGCCAACCAAAAATGAATCATAAATTATTTTAGCGTATTCCCTCATAAAACAATTTTTCTTCAGAATTTTCATTTCACGGTAAAAGCAAAATCTTTAATAGGTTTCTGTTATATGAATATATTCAAATCATGTATCCTAATAGGATCCACAAATATTAAATCAAATATAGATTTTTGCTCCAAATGAAAACTTTTTATTATCTAAGAGATACTTTAAGCATAATTAGAATATTAAATAATTACAATTATTAAAAATCTAATTTGAGATTTCATTTAACTTGTTAAAATAATACCAATTAATTGAATAATAATTTTTAACAAATTTTTTTTATTAAAATATTGCAGTTAATATAGAATTGCTTTGAGTATTCTATACTTTTGTTATTATGTTTGTAAATATATTTAATTTTCGATTAAATTCTTATTAAATTTGTTACAGAGAACTACCTTAAAATTATTTTTACAATTTCTATTTGAAAAAAATAACTACTGCTTAAAAAATGTAATTTTTAAAAAATAAAAATTGAGATTGATAGACGATTAAATATGTAGATTGACTGAATTCATGTAGATTTTATTTAAAAATCATTAAATTTAATTATCCTATTAAATACTTTTTTTCTTTTTGGTTTTAATTATCATCTTTATCTAAGATAATTTTTGATGACACTAAACGTCGACTGCTTACAACTTCTCAGTAGGCATGCGCATCATTGTTTTGCTGCTCACTTCCGGTTTCACATCATCATCATCAACAAGATTGTTTTTCAGTCAGCCGACATTGTTGTTGGCAACAGACACTCGAACGTCATGCAGGTGCCACCACTGTTATGGGTGGCCGTCGGCTTCTGTTTAATCCCTCTGGCAGCTGCTCATGTCCGCATGGTGTGTCCCAAACCTAAAAGTCCAGCTTCTTCACTCTATAGACAGGTAATAATCCAGTCTCAAATACCTTTCTCTCTTCTTTTTTTTTTTATTACCGTTCCATTCACTCTGCGGTTGACGCGAAAAAAAATGAATGCATGTTGATTGTTGCGTGTCATTTTTTTTTTCTTTTTCTCTCCGTTCTTTTTTAAAACAATTTAAAGATATCGGTTAAAAAAGATATTTAGAACCGAAATGTTTTTCCTTGTGCATTTTTATTTAATAAATAAAAATCATTCATTTATTGTTTTAGAAAAGATTTCTTCTTCGACCGTCTTTTTTTAACATAGCATCCAAATTTCTTCATGGTGGTTGAAAAAAGAAAAATTAGAAAGAAAATAATGAAAAAAAAAACAGGAAAACAATTGATGCATTTATAAAATCGATAGATTATTTACAAAAACAAAAACACTATTAAAGTTGAAACTTTTACATGCAACACGAGAAACGAAGTGCCTGATCACGTGATCGCATTTATCGTAAACAGTACTGAAGACAGAAAAATCAGTAAAATTCCATGTATGTTTTATTTTTAATTAATTTTATAAACTTAAAGTTCATTAAGTTTAAAGTCATTGATTTTGTTGTCTTGCTCTAACCAAAAAAAAAAAAAACAACCCTGGTTCAATTATTTCATTTTTTATACGCAATTTTACTCCAAAATTGTAAAAATAAATAAAGAAATTAAATATCAAAAGCACATTTTCATCTTTGAAAATGCAAACAAAAATTAATTCATAGCTAATGTTTTCAATAAAACATTAACTATTTACATTCAGTTTTTTTTTTAATAATAAATTTAAAAAAAAACGTAAAATCTTGAATTGGTGATTTTTGCGGGTAGGTATTTTTTTTTTTTTTTTTTTAACGGAACCACTGGCAACATCTTTTTCTTTTCTTTTTTATATATATATAATAATGATTTTAAAATTTTATTTATATATTTTAAGTAAACTTATATATACAAAATTTCAGATTTTATTCTTAAATCCGATTTTTTTTTCTCTATGAAAAATGAATTGATGCATTATTAGACAAAAACGCAAGGGTAAAAAAAAAAATCCAGCAGCTGTATTCGAACCTGCACTAACCAGTTAAATTTAAAAATAATCTATAGATTATTGTTCGCAATAGACGAAATGTTTTTGTTTTTTAATGTTTACGAAAAAGAAACGATTTTCTTCCTCTTTTTATTGAAAAACATAAGTCAGTGGGTTTTACTAACATAAGTACCGCTTGAAAGAAGAAAGCAATGAAATCCGTTTATTTTTACTTTCTAAATTACTTTGAGGTCTGATAACAAGTATCCTACCATGAAGCCTTAAATGTTCAAACAAGTGCTAGCTTCTAGCAGTAGGACCAAATGTTTGCTTAAAAAAATAAAGGGAATACAATTGAATAGAGAATAATTAATTTATGATTATTAAAGAAATGCCCCAAAAAACAAAATTTTTCATGAAAATCTTTTTTTACTAATAATTAAAACGAAATATCAAAGGATATTATTTATGTAATTTTTTTTTTCTTCTTTTTAGAGAACCTTGGTAATTTTGGTTAAATAAAAAATTAAAAAAATGAAAATCATGGAAATTTACGCACTTTTTTTTTTTTTCAATGAAAATTTTTTGATTTGAAAATTCTCGCAAATATTAGATAATTCTCGGATTTCAATAAATTTCAGGACTTATTTAGAAATTATCTTTTAAACTTTCTTTCTCTGCAAAATAATACATATATTTTTTTACACTGCACTAGAGTCTTTAAAAAAGAAAATAATTAAAAATAATTACATTTGTTACCCATCCACACTCATTTAATTTCTATGAAATGGGGAGAATCTTTTTACATAGCTTTTGTTAATTAAGGACAAGTCCTCAGAGAATTTAAATCTCGAAATTTTTTGGTCAAATAAAAAGTGTTAGTTACAAAGTAACAAAAAACCCACAGTTGTGGAAAATCTGCCCTGTTAAATCGCAAAACTAAGACATTTTTTTTAATTAGAAAAGATTTTAATTTCTTTTATGAATAAAGGTGTTTATTGCCTTTAAAAACAATTTATGATAAATGATGATTTTTTTTATCAATAAGAAATTTTAAGAGAATTTTCATTTTTTTAAAATTTCAATTAGAATAATTTAGAAACTTTTAGAAATTCTGCAATTTGTAGTGGCAAAGTGATATTGTTAATTAAAATATATTTAATAATCATAAATGGAAAAACTTATTACAATTCAACAACCCCCAGTATTTTAAGAAGAATTTTGATTTTGTGTGTGTTTGTTTTAAATAAGGAGTCTATACACGACATTATAAAAAAAAAAATATGAGTTACCTATAATAAATTTAAAATTTATTGGTAATTTTCTAACATTTTCTCAACAAGCATCTTTGTAAGTAATGCAAAAAGTAAAACAAAAATACTTAAAATTCAATAAAATATTAGACTGGTTAAAATATTTTCATAAATTTTTAAGATTAGCAGGTAGTTTAAAAAAATTACATAAAACATCACATTGTATGCATCAAGTAATTTTTCAGTTCTGTCCCTCTTATTTAAATTTCCCAAACATCACTGAACAAAAAATAACAGCTCCTCTCTGTTAGTACTTTTCTGCAACATTTTAAATTAAAAGTAATATTTGTTTCAATTCAGATTAAATTTTAATTTATGTGCAATACTAGACTGGCAGCATGATCTCATCAATTTACGTTTGTGCTAAGCTAGATGTGGGCATAACTTCTATGCTGGCAGTTTTTCTCATACCTCTCATCTGTGGAACTTCCTTCTGGCCCATGCTTTTCAGCCAACTTTAATCTGAAAAAGTTTAAATGCAATGGCAATTGCTATTAACTGTCCTCCTGATTGCTCGTTTCTCTTTCTGCTTATTACTAATGTTTCTGTTCCTAATTACTCCACACCCTGTAACCCCTTGCTTGTTAGTAGCTGTACTGCCTTGCTTGGGGTGATATCAATTTAGAAAAAAAAAAATCTGCTAATTTTCCTCAAATAATATTCCAGAATTTTATTTTATTTTTAAAAGATTTTTTTAGTTTGTGTTGACAAGTATGTCAATATGGTTGAATTGATAAATAGAAAAAAATTCCAGTCAGTTTAAATTTTTTAAGTGTTTTGCTTATTGGGAATATTAAATTGGCTTAGAATTAAAACTAAAAATAAAGTTTCAAGAAAGATTTTTTAATTTTTTTTTTTTAAATGCTTTTTAAACTTAAGCATTGGCATTTTCTTCATTTTTTTTTTTCTTTTAAAAATTAAGAATATATCACTCGATTTATTATTAACCTAGTTTAGGCAATAGAATTTTAGTTAAATTCTTAAAAAAATAGTCCTACTTGTCCAGTGTTTGTAAGTCATACTTTTTAAAATCTCAACTCTCTTATTTATGACTCCAAAATATATTGAGCTTTTCAAACCATATTTTGAATCGGGACAATTATCTGTCATGAGTAGACAGTTTCTTTTTTGCCTTTTTGCTCAAGGAAATTAGTTATCTGTTAAAACTGTCACATAAAGGAAAGAAAATAGAATAAGAATATTATTTAAAAATATATTTCAATTAAACAGTAGTATAATGACTGTTTTTTTTTTTTTTTGCTTTTTTTTTTCAGAAAATGGTTATAGCTAATGCTTTATATGTGTAACTCAATGCTCAAAAAATAATGTGTAAATTTTCTCATGTAGCCTCCTGGATCTACAAGTGATCGACAATGTGATGTAAAACCAAGCCCTCCTGGACGAGAACCTTATACAATGTTAAATCCTGGACCTTACACAATTAGATTTGAAGAAACAGAATACCATAAAAGTAGGTATATTCACCTCCTCACTATTTTCATATTGGTTTGTTTCAAAATAACATTTGGTTTGATTTCTGTTTCAAAGTCCCACAACGTTTTAACTTGTATAGAAATTTACATGAAATATATACACTTTATTTCAATTTGATTTGTATTAGAAAATCATAAAGGTAAAGTATTATAAGATTTATTCTCCCATTTTATATTTTCCCCATTATGGGCATTATTATATTCATCATATAATAACACCATATTTCACAGACAGAGCAGGATGACTGAAATGTAAAGGAATGACAAACATTCTTTGTTCTCAGAGAGACTTTTATACCACTAAGACATATACAAAACTATATATACATATGTCCTATGCGGAGAATAATATATATATATATATATATATATATATAAACAGCAAAGCAAATTGTAAGGAGAAACAAAACGGAAGGGTTTTGAATATAATATGGAGATACTCCTGTGTTTGGAGAAGCCATGTTTAAGACATCAGATTCAAATGGACCATATTCATCTACTATGTCCCAGATGTGGACATATTCCATGAATGGGAAAAAGCAAATTGAGGACTGCGAGACAGTTTCTTTCTATATCTGGGAAAGATATATTCCCAAAGGGAAACGGTGCCATCTGCTTGTAAACTGCTTCAGATTTAGCCTGAGGCCCTTGACCCAGGCTAAAAAGACAAAAAATAACTGCTCGACCAACTGTATCCCTACAGTATATTGCTCAATAATAACAGGCCTTTATAAAGGTTTTTGATTGCATCACTTGTTTTTTCTAATTCCCTTTTTCTCTTTGTAGGAAAAAAAAAATCAAACAATCATTATTCTAAAGAATAGGGCTCATAGCAGAATTAGACTAGAAATGGGGCAAAGTAAATCAACTTTGTTCCAGACACTGGAACATGACCAGAATGCTATCAAAGCAAGCAATAGTAGTACAAGATCTGAACCTATGTTCAATAGATGACACACAAGCACTTGATAAAATAGGATATGTAGAAATTCTTGATGTTAACCATTACCACGCTGGAAGCAAAAATTGTCGCCGTAGAATTCTCTCCTTTTGCAGCTCTAGGCGCATTCTGTTGCCTTGAGACAGTTGCTATAAACAAACACTTGTCAAGTGTTATTTCTGATATTTTAAACTGGAAATTGCCTACTACTATTTTGGAACAAGGTTAAACTTCCATTTTCCAATGCCATTTTGAATTCTTCTAGACTCTACACGAGGTGTAACACCAATCATTAAACCCATGTTAATTTTTTCAAGTTTTTTTGTAAATAAAACTAACTGCACCCAACAAAGCCATTATTCAGGAGTTTTTCTTTGATTCAAACTGAGATGATGATTTTGAAGGCTTTACTCAAGTGGATATTGATGGTGAAATGGTTGAAGATCCACACTAGTGACATGACGGAAAGCAATGATGGCCACTAGTGGCTCCTATCATCTATGGCTAACTAATTTTATGGAAGCTACTAGCGACCATCAATGTACCTGATAGCCTTTCTGAAGGTGAATTATTTTGTCTATTTCTAAACAACAAAATAATAACTTTACTTATCAATGAGACGAATGCTGGTGTCTTCTTGTAATGTAAATACAAGGAAGAACATCACCTTTTTTTATGAAATGAAACCCTTCTTAGCCATTTTGCTTCTTATTATAATCCAGAGCTTCACAAGGAGTAAAAAAAAGTTAATGTATTTGTTTTTATTTTTTTTGTTTCCAACATCAAAACATGCATGCAAAACACAATGCATTCTATCAAAATATTACTCATCCATTCTTTTATTAGTATACAAAAAATAAAATCTATACACACAATACAAAGAAAGTTATAACAATTTTAAAAGAGTAAATGTTCATGTTTTTACACCCTCAAAAAAAAAGGCAGTGACAGTGGGAACAATTCTAGAAAGAAATTAGTGTGGTAAAGGTTAAGAAAGCTTGATCTACATGGAAAAAAACATCGAAATAATCAATAACCTGTACAGGGAACAAACAGCTTATATCAATGGTTCCCAAATGGTACAGCACGCCTCATAGGTTCAACAGAAAAGAATAGCAGGTGAGGTGGAATGATTGAAAGACAATCAAAGATTTAGAAACAGTTTCAAATAGTTCATATGCCAAAAATAGATATGATTTCAAAATTTAAAATATTATGCATGAGTCCCAGTATAAATAGTTATAAATAATTATTGAATGATTTTATCATTGTGATATTTTTGGCATTATACCAAGTATTAAGAATATAGTAACTAAGGCTCACAAATTGGAGGAGAGAGTTATCAGTGATAAATCCATGGTTATCTCTCTTTAACTCTGTTTTTTGTGAGAGGTTAATGTACTTTTCGTCACATAAAATTTTATGAGGTATGAGCAAATTTTAATTCCGAAAATGTGTCCCAGAGTAAAAAAAAAAAAAAAGTTTGGGAACCAGTGGCTTATGTGCAAATAGAAAAAGAGTTAAGTGAATAGACAAAATTAAAAAGTGAGGTTACAGCAAGAATGCATTTTCTCACTATATTTATTTAATTTACACAATGAGAAAATCCGTAGAGAATTAGAAGAACTACCAGGAATTATTATTGGCAGTCATAATCTTAATAAGGTTATCTTTTTTTAAATTAGTCATTATGATCTTAATGATTTTATGCATTGTTAATTTATTCCATTTTTTTTTTTTTTTTGTACATTTACATTAATTAATCACAAGTTTTCAATGTTTATTATGTAAATATTCTGACATCAGTTTCAATATAGACTCATTTCCTTGTTTCATTGCAGACTCACCATTCCGTATTTCCTTACACCAATATGGAAACAATAGCACCTACTGTATTCTACTCGATCAAATTCCCCACAACAATGAAGCATCCACCATAGGAACTTATTGCAAAGTGAGTACTTACAATTTTCTTCAAGATATTTTGTAACCTTGAAAAAAAAATAAAAAACTCTAAATTTATATTTGAATATACATGTGCCACCTTTAGACAAATTCTTTATAAATATAATGTAGCTTAAATAAACACATTGACTGCCAACCATGAGGTAACTTGTAGTCAGTGTCATAATAAAAAATGCCAACCACAAGTTATTATGTACCAAGAACAAGTTCAATCGCAGTAATACACAATGGAATTTAAAAGGATGTGTGTTGTGGTGGATTGTAGGTGTGTGTATGTTCACATATGCTAAACAATTAAGAAGCATACAAAAACTTGAAATTCTACCACAGACTGTTCTCCCTTTTTTATATAAACTGTAGTTAAACAAAGTTCACAATGTCTCTTGGTACATCCGTTTTCTTTTTGGTCCAGAAGTTTGTGTGAGTAAGGATAAGCTTCATTATAATGATCATGCTCAATTTGGCCTTGCATGGAGTTCCAACAAGCAAAAAATAATTTGTTTTACTTCACTGGTGGATTGTTGGTATGGTTGTAATGGTCGAGTTCAAGACAGCCTTGTGTTTAGTTGGAACAACCAAGGAAAAAGTTGATTTACTTCATAGATGGAGGGTTTGGAAGATATGTGCAAACACCATGTGTTGGAAAGTGGAAAAAGAGAGTTTCAGTCATCAGTGGAGCAGGGGTAAATGAACGTGCCCCAGAGGAGCCATCCATTTTTCCACATTCTGCTACGTCTGGGAATAAGGAGGAGAGAGTGAGGAAAGAAATGTTTGCCATTTTATAGACTTAAGCAGCACCACCTAATGGGCATTTGGCAAAAACAAGTGGGGCAATCATATTTCTGGTTCCTTTGCTACCAGCATCATGGGAAAAAAGTATTTCTTTTTTCTTTTTTCTTATTCATTATTATTAATTTTTTTATTGATTTTTATTTCATTTTCCCAAACATTTATCATATGAAAACAATGTTAAAACTTCAGTTGAAGCTATGAATCAACTCAAAACATATTTTTATTGCCTACATTGGCTATTATGAAATTGGTGCTTTCAAAATTACCCCCTGGAGGTCAACGTGTTAACAAGCAAAGAAACTAAAAAAAAACAGATAATCCATATTTGATGAAAACAAAAGTGAAGCTAATTCTGTAACCATTTTAATGTTTGACATTATTCTCAAAATATGATGAGTGGAAGTAGTTTTTGTTAATTTATTATAGGTACCTCCACTTGCTCGATGAAAAAAAAACAGCATAATATGATGAAAAAAGGCCCAAAACTTAATAAAAACAAAGTTTTCTCTGATCATTTATTTTTCTGTATAAATATATTAACCCTTTTTATATTTTTTGTTGTGTGACAACTAATTGATATTTCTTCTTTGTAGACTGATGGTGGGATCATTGGAGAGTGCCGTGGAAGTACTTATTATATAACTGTCAAAATCCCTGATATTGATTGCAACAATTGCTACCTTCAGGTTACTTTTGTCAATACAGACACAGCTACAGGTAGGTATGCATTAATTTGTTCATTGTTAGTATGCAGGTAAAGGCAAATATTACCTCCAATTTCTCCATTTCTATAGAAACAGTCAAAAGAAGGCAACTCAAGATTGATGTCTATTCCCAAAGATAAGTAGTTTGTGTTATATGATTATCAATTATTTCAAGAATATTACATCATATTCAGCAAGGTTCTTTTCTGATCCATTATATAAGTAGATTTTAATGGCACTCCAGGAAATATTACATGTTTCAGAAACAAGGGGTAATTGGTTAGAATTACAAAGAACATAAAGGTGTGGCAAGCAATGTACCCATTCTTACTTCAAAATTTACATCCTCCATCTGTAGTGTTATTTTTCCCTTCCATTGCCAGTTTTAAAATTCTATATCATCAACTCTAAATTCAGGCAATAAGCCTTGTCTACAAATAAACTGTAGAATTTCTACATGCTCTATTCTGAATTCTGTTGTCAACAACCAAAATTTCAACATTGCTTTATATTTTATGTATGCTACTGAAATAAATGTATATTTTAATTTTAGTAGGAAATATATTCTAATTTCTTTTCCAATGACAGAAATGTTTTCTTTCTTTTTTATTCTGTAGGAGATACTTGCAGTCTAGATGATGATCTGTGTACAGCCTACTGCAGTGTAGCCAATGTGCGAATAAAGTAAGTCTCAAGTTAATTTTTCTTTCTTTCAAAAATATTACATTGCAGAAGCAACTAGTTATTGAATATTATTGACATTTCACAGCATATAACAGTGATTATGTCAGCCAATATAATGCTTTGTTCTACAAAGCACAAACTCTAATCTTGGAAATAATCTATTGTTGATAAGGATGGGCAAATATCCCCAATATTTAATGAGCCAACCCACATGTTTTAATTTTGCTCCAAGCATAATTGGTTATTTCCTATTCGTCCAGGCATAATTGGTTATTTCCTATTCTTCCAGGCGTAATTGGTTATTTCCTATTCTTCCAGGCGTAATTGGTTATTTCCTATTCTTCCAGGCGTAATTGGTTGCTTGCTACTCTACCAAATTGAAATTGTTCACCTCCCAGCTCTTTGAAACTGAAACAATAATAGGAAAGTCTTGAATCAAAACCTTTTTCTTTTTTTTTTCTTTTTTTAATTCCTGTAAGCATTGGATAAGTGCACTATACATAGAAAGAGAAATATAATATCAGAATTTAAAACTGAACTAAAATTTCTGACTCCATTTTACAAAATGTTTATTGTTCAAGACTCAACTACATTAATTCAAGAGCATGACTTTATTACCGTTCTTTAAATCTGTATGAAGTGCATAGTAACTGTAGAACCCTGGAACCAGAGCAACTAAGTACACAAAACATCCTTTACAAATAGTAAATACTTGAACAGCATTTTTAAACATATATGGGGGAATTAAAAGCAAAGACCAAATTATGAGGAGAAAATATCTATAATCACCTTCCCAGACCAACACAAATTACTAAACAAACTATGAGAACTTACCTCAAAATGCAAGCACGAAAACAAATTCTTACTATATTACTTAAAAATTAAAAACTAAAAAGAATACATTACAAAATAACACCATGAAAATACAAATATATGCACTTATATAACACAGATAATCTAACATATTTTAGACAAAGTAAATAAGATAACCAACAAGTGAAAAAATAAAATATATAAAATAAACAAATGGTCTAAATAAATAAACAAATTAACAGACTATGACTGCACACATAAACACCAATAAATGTAGTAGTAGTAGTAATAAGAAGAAGAATAATAAACAAATAATTAGTAAAAAGTTAGCAAACAACACTATAAAATGGCTATAAATAATCACATTCAGATCTACAATTATTCCTACTCAATAGCTCCTAGATTAATTTGAAATATAACTGTTAGGATAATACAATAGACCTTGCTACCCATAATGCACCATTGACCAGCATATATAAATAGTCCAACTAAAACAGCACACATATCCTGAGGACTGCATTCAAGCATCAGATAGACTGTTACCAATTTGTGTTAACTTCACTGCCCAAGTGTGTGTGTGTATGTATGCATATATATTACTTTCTTTATATTCATATAATATTTACTATTACTGTGTGCATATGCACACACACTCACACACACACACACACACACACACACACACACAGAGTTCCCTAATGCAGCATCAATATTAGTGGAGATGGAAAAATTTTAAACATGTAGTTGTTAGATATAAAGACTTTTCAAATATGCTTAGTGTAAATTTGCTGTATGACAACATTGAGTAATTACATTTATTAGTTATTAGTATTATATCCAAGTTACATATAAAGTAGTAATCAGTGACAGAATTTTTGTCTGTAGAAACTTGTGCCAATCAAAATTCACAAATCTATGAAAATGGTGAAACCTTGCAATCCCTCAAAGCTATGCAGAATAAGGCCTACAAGAATATTCTGCACTTGTTAAATAATGCACACTTTATAAGATTTATTTTATACACTTTATAAATTTATTTTATTTATTTAAAAATTAAATAATAAATCTCACATAGTCAATCAGTCCATACAAACACTTATGGGAATGAAATAATTCAAACAAACACCAATTTCTATTTTACCAAGAAAATACATTTGATACATATTTCATTAACCCCTTAACTGTTGATCACAGGACTCAGAATGAGAAATTAGAGAGTTGTGCTTGAATTCCAGACTGGTTTATTAGATTCACTTACATGCAAATACTCCTGGTAAAATTATGAATCCATCTCTTCCCCCCAATTATGGGTTAAATAATAGAATTTATGTCTAGAAAAAGCATTGTTATTCTTACAAAATTGTTGCAATATTCACTCACAAAAAATAGAAGAATAATTATTATTACAATAAAAAAAATATATATTTTGGCTTTAAGTAACCCCCCAAAAGTTGATAAATCATAAAAAAAAAAATCAAATCAGGCAGGCAGGTTGAATGCAGGAATTTCTGTCAGTGCTGTTCTGTGGCTTAACTGAAAAAAGATGGAAATTTCTTTTAATCTTACATTTATTGTGATTAGTAAAAATTTAGCTCTGTCCATGAGTTTGGGATATCAAATCACCCTTTCTTCCTCTAAGCAATCAGTGTCCAAAAATTATTTAGTCCAAGAGGGTAATTTCTCCCTCAAAATAGCAAAGCAACTTATTATTGTTAAGTAATATCCTAGTGAAATTTATCATTCACACTGAGATTTATCTGATAGTAAAGAAGAATTTACTAATAAAGTCACAACTGATGATTTATCAGATAACAGACAAACAAGTACTGTAGGTACTTGATGGAATTTTTTTTTTTTTTTTTTTTTAACAAAACCAATTTTGATAATGCTTTAGACAGTTTTGAATCTATTCAAAGTATTGAAATAATTTTTAAACTCATCAACAACACAAATTTGGGTTCTTCTAAACCAGATTTTTTGCCCATAAGTCAGAATGTCATCCCCTGACCTTTCCAATATTATCTGATTCAAAATATCCATATATTATTGAAAATCTTCATTATTTTCCATATACATAGACATGAATTATTTTTATAGAGGACTTTTATAAATTTAATAGCAATAGAAAATGTTGATGGATTTTAAAACTTGAATGCATGTACAGTAATTTGTTTTAATTCATAACTAATTATAAAATAAATAAACTGAAGCAAACTTCAATAAATAAAATGTTCAATAGAATGTCAGGGTTGATTGGAATTCAGATTAAGAGATGGACATGCTATGGAAGGTGCTCCTCGAAATTATAACAATCAGTGACAGTCATTCCAGTTTCATAACTGGATTCTTCATGTCTCCTTCCATATGTGCCAAAAGAGGAAGGTCATGAAATCAAGTGTGTGGATCACTTCCTGGCAAGTGGAGATCCACCTTAAACAAATTGATGTCATCAGTACTTTCTTCTACTCTGATTTTCTTTCACCTCCAACCAACTCTTCCAAAGCCAAACAGAAATAGGGAATGCATGACAGAAGTGGGTTTTAGTGAAACTGGAAACTTCTAATCCCGAACTTGCACATTGTCGGCAAATTTTGTTAGCAACATCATCATAAATAAATGATCAGAAAAGAAAAAATTTAAATTCTTGGATGCGAGATAAAGCCGACAATAATTAAAGACCATATTCAAGAAAGAAAAATTAAAAGAAGAAAAAGATTTAAACACTTCTTTTACTAATTGCTATTTGAATTAAAGTTATCACAGCATTGAGAAAATGGCAACTGATCTTTTTTTGCCACAGTTAATGAGTTAATTAAATTGATTTACCATTTTATTTTATATTATTCATAATCTTAAAATTGTTTTTATCCTGGAAATAATATCAGTGACTATATATATATATATATATATATATATATATTGCACACATATTCGTTAAACTAAATGGTACAGTCTTTATTATAGACATATTTTCAAATGCCCATACTTATTTAATTTTCTAGAGCAACTGAACCTGGCATCAGGAACCTATCCAGCTGTGAGCGGTATGCTAATAATCTGTATGGCAAATGGCCATATGCACCTGTTGAAACTTACCAGGTAAGAACAAAAGAAGACTAAAAAGTCTATAGCCTCAAATTTCAAGGCATTTCTCATCAATTAAATGGTGTGTATTTTTGTTAAATGAATTTAAAATTTTTACTCAGTTGATAGCAAATTTGTTTTCTGTTTATGAATATTGTAATAAAATCTATAATTTTTTTTTATATTAATTTTAATAATAGAAAAATAGTGCAACATATTTATTTACATTTTATTTTACCTATATTGACAGAAATTGAAATATTCTTCACTATTTCATTTTTGCATCTAAAATATTGAAAATTTCATATCTTGGCTTCTTTGCAATTTGAACTTGCTTTGGTTTAAATACAGCTGCTAAAAAAAAATGACAATAGCCTAGTGGATTAAAGCATTGGTTCATGGATTTGGTGGAATAGTAAGTGTGAGTTCAATCCTTGGGCTTGGTAATAGGGACTCAGAATCAATAGAAACTGGGTAAGCAATAATTGTGCATTACTAAAAGAAAAAAAAAAAAGACTCTGATTTCCCACTTTAGTATGTTGACCCACGATATCAGAGGAGTATGATGATGGTATAGAAGTAGAGAGTGAACCTTTCCGTCAGTGATTCATATATTTTTTTTACTGTTATACACTCTGGTAAAGTGACCTTTGACATGAAAGTGCATATTGAACAAAGGTGTGTCAATGTATTTCTCTATTCTGAAAAAATTACACGTATAGAAATTAATTACGAATCATTTAATTAAATGAAATAACAAATGTGAGTAGTGGCAACAGTGAAGTCACATTGGGGGGGGAGTAATCAACCCACAAAAGGGAGATTGTCACATGGATGTGTAAAACGAAGGATGCCTCTTGTATGCTTATAACATAAAAACCTTCTGCATTAGAAAGAAATATAAAATATTTAAAATTTTACACATAGAATAAATGATTTGTATATTTACATTGGTTCATTAAATCAGTAGGTTTCACAGGTTAGGACTTTGTGATATGTATACATATATTGTTAATATTATATGTGCATATCCTATTCTCATTTAGAATATCTCTCCCCTGTTAGTAATAGATGCACATTTGTTTTTATTTCTTTGATTGAACTCTGAAGAGAGAGGAAAGAAAACCGTTCAGCTGTTATCTTTCTTTGTCGAATTAACATACATGGCAATTATGTTTTTCTCCTCTCACTGATACACTCGAGACACCTCAGTGCCTTTCATCTTCACCATCTGGTCACTCAGAGTATTTATTTTCTACTTTTGTATTTCAGGTAAATGTTGAGGATCTGGATCCTATCACTATTGTCCATGATGTTACTCAACAAACATTTCATTTCCAATCAGCAGCATTATCTAAAGGGTAAGAGCATTTGCTTTCACATTCTGCAGAAATTTTTATATTAATAAAATAATTACTTTTATAATATAAATTCCTACATTCAGTCTATTAAATCAAAGAATATACAACCCTTAACTTTTCAATTCAAAGTCACCTTTGAACAACAAAGTCCTCTTGTTAACATCCTATTAGCTTACCACTGGTATATAACCATTCAAAAGCTTGAATATCAGATTCAAAGCTACTTAAAAATAATTTAAACATAAATCAGGACAACATAAAATGACTTTAGTAATTAAAATCTTCAATGTCGCTCTGTAAATATGACTATGTTTAGCACTATGAATTATCTGTCAACCAATCAATGCAGAACTAAAGTTGAATGGTAGGAAACTGCAAGAGTGTATCACTTATAGTATATTTCAGAATTGGGAAAGCTTACAAGTGGGAATTTAGGCTCCTCTTGACCTTTTACTTGGGAACCAAACACAATCTTCCACCATCAACAGCAGGTTTTTAACCAGGAATTCTATTTTTTTTTTTTTAGATTGTTACAGGTGATGAAAAATGGGTTTTGCATGTCAACAGAGAATAAAAAAGACTGATTATCACAAAATTAGAAACCAGAACTTCAGCAGAAATCTTTGTGCCTAGTAGAGCATTAAAGGTGTTGTCTATTATGAGCTAATAGAACAGGCAGATATTACTTTTAGGGTATTCTGAAAGTAATTACATATGTCCCCGCTCTGAATTATAAGTTAAACCAGCACTTCCTAAACTTTCTATGTTTTCCAGCATTAAATGATATTTGATTTTAATAAGGGTTAAAGCTGAAAAAGGCATTTCACATTGGTATGTGCTGTGACAAAAGAATGTGTAATGCCATTTCAGAAATTGTGGGAAATTCAGCTTTAGCAGAATTCACTCAACGATCTTCTTTGTAAATTCAACTTTCAAGTTTGAGTCACTTGATTCTTCAGCAAATTCAAGTGTTTGAATTTAATTTTCATGACCCCATTTGGGGGTCACAATCCATAGTTTAAGTGCTGAGTTAAACAACCAAAAATAAAAACATGGTTGAATACTAAGAAACTTCATCAAAAATTAGTTTATTATCCTTTCTTTAAACAGGGTATCATTTATAGCTCATATCAGATATTAATTGGTAAACTTGCAAGGAAAGAATGTGGATTCCTCATTAACATTTTACCTAAAAATTAGAAACCAATGTCAATGCCAAAATCGAGAGTCAATCCAAAGAAGTCCTTGCTTTATGTCTGGTGGGATATTAAAGATGTTGTCTATTACGAGCCAGTAGGAAAACAGAAGGATCATCACTGCAGGCATTTATCTTTATTGATAATGTCCTGCTTTGGTAAAAAAAGAAAAGGTGTTCTCCAGCATGACAATGCAAGGACAGATTCTGCAAAACAACCCCCCAAAAAAAAAAACTGACTTCATTAGGATGGGAGGTTCTTCCACAACCACAACAGATTTAACAGACATTTGTTTCAATCAACTAGAACATCTCATAAGTGGCAGGATTTTCAAACTTTATCAGATAAAAACCCCCATTTTTTAAAATATATGAAATTGGAAATTTACCTTTTCATTAGGTTGCAATCATTGAAAAGGAAAGGGATTAATTACATTTTTGATAAATGATATTTAAATAAATTTACCTTAGATTTGGTTTTATATCCTCTCAAAAACAAATTGTAATTACTGTTTGAATACCCTAATAGTAATAATGATTTCTTCAATGAAAAGATTTAAGTAAATTATTTTAATTGCTTAAAATTTCCGTTTTTAATCCGCTAGTTATTTCCAATTATACTTATTGATACTAAGGGATGCTAGTTAATAAGTACTACTTTTTATTTTTATTAATATTGCTTTCTGATTGGTTCACAGGTGTAACTCCTTTGACAATGCCTTTTCTTCTTTTACATTTAGGAATGATGACCCTTTTAGCCTCTTTTATTTATTTTTTTCTTTATCTTTTTATTTCTTTATGGCAAACCAAAATGATTGCATACTTTTTTTTTTTTTTTTTCTTTTTTTTAATAGTAAAATTTTAAATTTTTTTATCACTACAGAATAACAATGTATGATAACATTCTGACATCAATAATTTTCATTTAGGCCAACTTTGGTTTTTATAAAGAAATTTTCAGAATATTTGGATACACAATAGAATTTCTCAGTTTATATGATTAGATTTTTAATTACTTATGTTTTTTTTTTTTTATTCTTTCTTGCAGAATGATAGAAGCATTAAGCATCTGTAATGAAGTGAACAATACCTCAAATCAACATTCCATGGTTTTTCAAGTTCCTGTTACCCAGTCAAATAATTCGGAATTGATTGCAACTTATAATTGGGGAACAAATATCACACAATCGGATTTGGATTTGCTTAAGGTACATAATATATCCATTTATACCTATAGTCTCTATAATGCTTTGTAGCAAAAGTACATCTCTGGTGGGTATTGTAACAATAAAAAGATTCACCTGGTTGGGGTTTGCCACATGGTGGAGTTGCCACTTTGGTAGCCAACCATGTGTTGTCCTGGTCCACCAACATGAAAGGAATGGTACTGGTACAAGTTGGGTTGATGTGATTGCCCATCACCAGCTGGAGAACTCCTGACTGGCTACCCACACATAGTTTAGCAAGCAGATTGATGCAACTGCTGTCATGCTAAACAGCTTCATATGTGAGGGTTGAAGGAGGCAGGTGGGCCAGTGCAGCTAAGCCACCCAAGCAATTTGTAAGGATGCAACTGTCTCATTGCAAGGGTACTACCATTTTACCTCACCCATTACACCTCAAAATCATCATAGTAGAGTCATCTACCATTTTGACCTGCCATCTGCAGACTAGGTGACCTTGCAGCAGACCACACAGCTACTGGAAGAATGTCATCTGACACTGGAGGATGTTCCAACACTCTGACAAGAGAGCTGGAGGGACAAGATTACTCTTCTGATTGCCTAAGCATGTATCATGTATAGCACATAACTGACTGAGTAATAGTAGTAGTAGTAGTAATAGTGTCACAAGTTGCCTTGCTACTTTGTAAATGCTGCTTTGATTTATGTGTTGAGGTTATCAAATGTAATTGCATGTTCTAAGAGCATTTATCTGTTATACATTTAACGATTCAAGAAAAAACAACGAGACTCCAATTGTGCATCAACAATAAAATATATATTAAAATCTAACATACAAAACAATCATGCAATGAAGTGTAATGATTAAGGAGAAAAAAGTTGTTTCCCTTCAACTGTATTCTGATTTAGGATTGAATGTTCAAAAGAGTTTCTCTTGAATAAGAATGTTCAGGATTCTATGTTGAATAGAGTTTGCTGTTAGAATAGAATACAGTTAATTAAGAAGTATGTTGTTTAGAGAAATTAATAGAGTTCTGGTTCATGAACTTGGCTGAGTCACAGAGAGGAAGAATATGTGTAATGTGATACAAAAATCTGTCTGTGTGTGCGTTGTGAATAAAGTCGTGGATTTGTGTAGACAGGCGAAAATATCTGGACTCTACTGACTGTTGTGGAAAATATTGCTTCTTTTAAGGCTGCCAGTAGGCTCCCAGCGAAAATGCGGGAAAGTTGATTTAGCACAAAAATGTTTGATTGGTTAAAATTCAACTAATTACTGAATTTGTAACAAAGACATATGTGAGCAAGTTCATGGTAGAAAAAATTCAAGTTCAGGGTAGAAAAAATTCAAAGTGGTAACTGCGATTACTAAATTGTCTTACAGAAAGGCAGTATCAATTTACTAGCCAATCGCAGACGAATAAATTGTGAGTGTAGAAAGTGTAGCAATCGCTACAACTTTCTGATCTTATAATGATTCAGTAAATTTAGGCATATTTTCAATGATATTTAAATGTTCTTATTAAAACCAGTATTTAGCCATCAACAGGTCTATGTTGCTATTGACCTAGCCAGAGTATTGTAAAATCTTGGGCAAAATTATATAAAGTTGAGTAGAAAAGAACTAAAAACAGAAATATTTTTTTACTAGGAATATTATGCTTTGTTTTCTTGACAGTGCTCTATATCCAAATCCAGGACCTTCTCATTCCTGTTGGAGGGACCCCTCCCTAATTGACCATGTCTTCAGGAGTGTAACCATACTAAGCATGCTTGGCCAGTTGTGGTTTGGTGAGGCTATTTAACCCATAGTTAGAAGTTTTGAATTCAAAGTTATCCTTCTCTTAGATCAATTGCCACCCAAGGCTATAGGACCCAGTCTGTCCTGCTATATGCCCATAGCTATAGGGGAAAGAGATGGATTCATACCTTTGCCAAGGGTATTTGCACTTAATTGAATATAACAAACTCAATTGAAATTCAGACTCGTCTCTCTGATTGCTCAATCCAAGTCACACTACCTTACTCTGTGTCTCTGCTCTCTATCAAGTGTATGTAAATTTTGTAAATGGTTAAATCAGTATTTTAAATTCTAATTTTTCTTTTTTGTCAGTATAAAAATAATTACTCACTTTTGCAAGATGATAAATGCCAATGTCAGTGTGGCACACCCTTTTTCAATTAAAGGGACACAACTCTCAATAGTTTATCATCTTTGTTAAACTTTTAAAAGGTAAGCTTAAATATTAATGGAATATTTAAATGCAGTGATCAATTTTGAGTTCTTTTGTAGTTTATTGTTGCCTATTGCATCTACTCCTCCCTACCGATTGTGATGAAAACCCAATCAAGAGTGCTCTGCAGCAGCTAGTTTAAATGTCACCCAACAGGGCGGCTTTTAAGCTAGTTTTAAATACATTCATATCACTATAAGCCTATGTTTCTGAAAACTAAAGTTAACTTCAGAAGTTTTAATTAATAAAAAAAATATAGAGAAATTAATTTTTAAAAATTAATTACCCATTGAATATGTGTTTGAGTATATGTCCACTCATAAACACAGAAAATTAAATATAAAGTGGTTGTCTATGCAAATATTACATAAAACTGTGATATTACTAGATGTGTCTTATGTCTTGCCCAACTTATCAGTTCTTGCTTAATAAAAAAAAAAGCTAAATTGCATAGTCAGTTTTAAAAAATTAAATTTTAAAAAATGACTCTTTTGTTATTTACTTCCAATCTGGTCTTTTTGTTATTTTTCTTTTTGTTGATTCTCTTTTAATAAAATTCCCTAGTTATTCAAATAAAGCCATTTTATGTCGTGAAAGTGAAAACAATCATAGCATTTTTTTTTTAATCATTTCACACCAAGCAAGATCAAGATGCAAGGGGTTACTAGAAGTGAAACAGAACAAGAAGACTTTAAGGAGGAGAATGGACAAGTAAAGGGAAATAACCAATGTTGTCATGTTTTGAAATAGTATATTTTGAAAATGAACAAGTCTAAATTTTCATTGGTGTGTATATATTTTTTTTTTTTTTTTCACAAAATTTAATAAGTGACAATTCATTTTGTTTCATGGATGTAATTGTTGTTCTTTTTGTTAAAAGAAAAATTGAACAACATTAAAAATGGATGAGACACTTTTTATGCATAACAAAATACATTTGAATGAAAAAGTTGAAATTTCTACACTTTATTCAATATTTTTTTTTTTTTCAAATGCTGAATAAAATAATAACTAAAGACAAAAGATTCCATTTAACAAACCAATAAACTTTTTTCAAATGTTTTATTAAAATTTCCCAATAAAAATAAAATTTGATTTAAAATGAAATCTCTTATTTAATTTTTAGACTGGTCAACTCCATCTTCATTTAGTGACAGTGGATCAAAAAGAACTTTATCCTGTGATAAATCTTACAAAGTTGGTGAGTATCTACTATATTTTTAAACATATCAAATGATTGATGGCTACAGCTCATGAACAGAGGGGATAAAGACAGAGAGGAACACAGGTTCAATCCCTCCTGGGAATCCATTTTTCATTATTAAGATTTCTTTAATGCACTTGCCAACAGACATATAATAGTGTGTGTGTGTGTGTGTGTGTGTGTGTGTGTGTGTGTGTGTAATGTTGTTTTCTTTCTTTATTAATAAGAAATCTGAACTAAATCACCCATACATAACATTGTTTATTCAACTCTGGACTTTGGTAATTATTTTTCACAAGTGGGTGTGTGGTTCTGTGTTTTCTCCAAACATGGATTTACATCTCGCAATAATGTAAGTTTCTCTCTTCATCTTCCTTCTTGGGTGGGTGTTTATATATCCTCTAGTCCTTTAATTTGTTCCATATGTGCACATCTCAAGCAGAGCTCTATCAACCACCTGTTCACATGTCAGGCCCTGCCACTGAATACTGTCAGATCTAGATCTTTGCCTGGTGGCTAGGAGGTCATCTTTCAGGTCAGCATACTGATGTTTCTGAAGCTCTTGCACTGAGTGCATAGTTTTTTTAATATCATCTAAAGAAGTCACCTACTACCACAAATATTTCATGCACATGTAAGTTTGCATAAAGGGAAGCTGAACTCAAATTTTGATAACAAGTAGTGTTGGCTTATTTCTTTTTCTTTCCCAACCCTGCCAAATGAGTTTTGTTAATGGTTATAGATAAGATTTTTTTTTCTATTTAACAAGTCATGCATTTTTATAAGTCAATATATTTCTTGAATCTTATTTTCTTTTTTGTTTCCTAAGTTTTTCAAAACAGGGTGTCTGAAAAAAATGTATAGACATTAAAAACTGATCACTTGATCATGCCTCTTTTTAAACATTAAAATATAGGGTGGCCCAAAGTAGGCTGACACTTGACACTCTATTTTATTTTTTTATTTTTTTTTTTTTTTTACACATTTTATTACATTTATTTGTTACAATCATATTTGTTCAAAACTGTTTATGTACATTTGTTTAATACTTTACTTAGATTTCTTTAGCAGAGTGCTCAAAATGTCCTCCTTCAACATTGCAACATTCCTTGAACCTCTCCAGAACACTATGACACACAGCACGACACAAATCCTCATCTGCATCAATTTCAATAAATACTTCTGTGATGTACTCTTATAATTTGTCCACAGGGAAGGGACTTCTCTTATAAACCATATTCTTTACTACACCCCCCCGCCACACACATACACACAAAATCCATTTTTGTTAAGTCAGGTGTACATGGTTGCTATTCAATGCTGCCCCTTCCTCAGAACCAAAATGGAAAGATTTGCTTAATGAAGTCCTTTACTGCCAAAGCATAATGGAGAGGTACTCCATCTTGCTGAAAGGACAGTACGGCAAAGTTAGCTCTGGTTCTGAGCTGTAATCTAAAACATGAAACAAATAGTGAAATAACTGTAAGCCTACTTTTGTTCCACCCTGTATAATGCTTCTATAATAAAATTTAAATTTAAGAAAATAGATATAGTATTTATTAACATCCTAAGTGTCTGTTGATATTTCTGAGATGAGGTATTATGTACACTATTTACATTATTCGGACTATCATCCTCATCTTTGTTGCCATATTTATCACAATGTTTCAGCTGTTATACGCTCCAGCCTTCTTCAGGTGATTGGAATGTTGAACTGAACACTTTATTTCACTCACTTCGTAGACTATGGCATAAAATACAATTGGCAAACTGTTTGAATTTCAGCTGACAAATTTTATGTTCATACCTTTTGGAAAAGTCATAAATCCAGATTTTCTTATCACCAGATAGCAAGATGTCTTACTATTGACATACCACAACAGCTAACAAAGAAATGTGTATGTGTTTGATAACTTGGGTGCACCACTCTCCCATAACTACAACACCTGCCAAAGCTGTTACCCACATGACTGGGGCCAATAAAATAAGACACACACATAAGTATAAATAAATATCCATGAAATAAAACAAAAGCAAAACTTTGTCCTCTGGACATTATCAAGGCAAATGTAAGGATTTTATTTTGCAACAAATACTTTACATATAAAATATAGTTTTCAGGTATGCTATATTTATGGGTAAAAGTGCTCAGTATCGGGCATAGAGCATATGTAAATATAAAATTTGACACTGAGGTCAAAGCTGAATATTTACAGTCTGTTTCATACTTAAATGCAACTAATCTTCCCCGCATATTCATATAAACTATGCCTCTTACTCTGTAACCCTCTACCTTGAGTTGATCTTGGGCCTTGTACGGGGTGAAGATTAGTGTATAAAAAAAACAATTAGAGGAAAAAAAGAAATAAATAAAACTATGAAAATAATTGTTATCAAGCCAGAATTTTACTGATTTCTTCATACTTTTTATACTTATGTAATATATGATTTATACCAGGAAATACCAGACATCTGAATAGAATTTAATGTCAATAAGGAATCTTTATTCTAGGAGGAGTTGATCTGTATGTACTGGGCTCACTGTAAGAGACACAAACGTAGGCTGAGCTTAAGATGTGCACATAGGGTGCAACCAAATGACAAAATGTCATATAAACACCTCTATCCAAGAGGGAAAAGCCAAAGTTTCTCACATCATTGCAAAAAGATTAACATTCAAATAAACCACATATCTTCATACCAACATTAACTGACAATGTCTATTAGTGAATAAACAATAATTCTACATATGAAAGATTAAAAGGATCTTTGGGGAGGGGGTGTGGAGAAAGAATATCAAATCTCTTATTCTGAGTATTATGAATGGTATAAATAAAAAACACAATACTCTTATTCTGCTGTGAAATTTGAAAGAAATTTACATTTATTAAATGGCATAAAAAATAATAATAGCACAGAAGAGAAAATTTACAAACAAGCTTGCACAAAACTTTCCTTTGTGCATCACACAACTAGACAAGATAACAAACTTTAAATACAATTTTGTTGGGTACATAAAAACAATTACAATTATCAACAAAATTTTCACTTCGATTCATCCAACTGCTGAAAGGAGTTGAGAAGGTTGACAATTCACGGGTATCACTGATATATAATATATATATAATATATATATATATATATATATATTAGTAATTATTTATTTTTTTTATTTTTTTTTTATTTTTTTTTTTTTTTTTTTAGAAATTGATTCAGTTTTTTATGCTGATTCAAAATGAAATAAATCCTGTATTTACATAAAAGTTCAAAATCAGGATTAATATCTCTAATTTTGTGACAGACTTTCACAAACAGCTATAAAAAGATAATTGTATATATGTCTCTAAATCTGTAGAATTTTGTGCCTTTTCTTTTGTTACTTCTTTTACATCAGCAGTAGCAGTTCTTAGTTTTTTTTTGTCCAGATCCCTGAACCAACTGGCATCTTTCTTGGAAATGTGAAAACCCTTGATTAACCAGACTTCTTAAACAGACAGAAATTGGCTCCAAAATTAAATCAAAAATTGAAAACTAAGAGGCTTAACTGACTTTCCCCAGTGGTTAAAAAAAAAATTGCAAAATGTATCTCTTTAAAACACATCTGTTTGTAAACTTTATTTTGGCAGGTTTTCAAACCATCAGACTTGAGCCTCTTTTTGAAAAACAAAATTTCTACATGTGTCTTTTTTTTTTATAAAACAAGAGGCTTTATTTTGGCAATTTATTTGCAACATCAGGGCCAAGCCTCACATAAACAAAGTTTTATACATCATATTTTATTTAGGTCATTTTTTATTAACTGTCTGACTTCATTTTATCATTTTTTTTTATTTAAAGAATACATGGTAGTAACTTTCTTCTTTTTAATAAATGTTTTTTAAAAACACTCCCCCTCAAAAGAAAGTGTATTAAGCAAACAGTCTATCTATTGTATTATTTTTTTATTTACCCATTAATTATTTTTATATAATTTTATATTTCTTTTTTTATTATATAAATTTTTACAAGATGTACTTTTGTATTCTTTTTAGTCTTTACAACAATGTTATATACTTTACACATCTTTGTACTTTTTTTTACTAGATTTGTATACTTTTACTTTTGTTCTTTTATATTTTTGTTTAGTTAGTTCTTTGGACTAACCTCAAATTAATTAACAATATTTTTTGATTATTTACTCAAAAATAAAATATAGAAAACATGAGAAAAGCATCATTTACAGTTGTAATTTCAACTGTAAGTTCTATGCTAACAATTTCTTCTCTCACACTTCTTACTTGTGGAACTTTCTTCCAGCTTCTTGCTTTCCAGTCAAGTTTGATTTTTAAAATTTTAAATGCAATGTTAATCGTTGTCTTCTTAATTCCTGTTCTTTTATTGTTCTCTTAATGATTGTTTTTTTTTTTTATCTCATATTCCCTTGTGTCTGTGTGGATTTATTGCCTTGCTTTGTGTGAAATGATTTTTTTAAAACAATGGTAAAAAATGATTATGCTAAATAAATAATTTTATTTCATTTTAGCATTATGAATCTGGGATCTATCGGCAACACTCGGCACTTTATTCAACTGATGGTTGGCTTGCAGGACCTGAATTTATTGGTCCAAATGCCACATACTCTGCTATTTCTTGGAGTTTTGGCACCTGTACTTACCCTGCACGGTACTACATTGTAAGTAAAATGTTTGCAATATAATTACTTTGTAAAATCTTATTATCTGAGTTCATATAAAACCACCTTTAATAATAAAGTCTTCTCACACTGTTGAATTCTTGTGTAAATGAGATAATATTCATGTTTATGCTTTAGTTTTATTCACTGCAGTATTGGTTGCATTTCTATTTGTTTTCTATATTTTTAATAGGATTTTAATACTAGAAAATAGAATTTATTTTTTACTTTCTCTCTTCCAAATTTTCACTATTTACTCTTTTTCTTTCTTTTTAGCAAGAATAAGGCTTATGGCCACATCATGTTGAAACACCAGTTCCTATACAATCACCAAAGTTAAGCAACATTGAGCCTGGTCAGTACCTAGATGGGTGACCACTTGGGAATGCCAGGTGTTATAAGCTTGGATGTGCAAGTGGTGTAATGGATAATGGCTCAGAATTTTAAATCAGAGAGCCGAGTTCTAATTCCTACTGGGTTCGTTATATTCACTTGCATGCAGATATCCCTGGAAAAGTTATGAATCCACCTCTTCTTCCCCCAACTATGGATTAGTTAGTAAAACTTGTATCACTAAATCATTATTATCTTCAAAAAAACAACAAAACAAAGCTTCTTACAAAAAAAATATAAATATTTTCTGGCTTTAATTAATCTGCAAAGGGTTGATAAGCCTTACAAAATGAATGAATCAATCAAACAAACACTGATTAGCAACACATGCATGTCATTTAGAATTTTTTACATTCTCTGGAATATAAATGCATAGAAACTACCGTGGCCACAAAGTGAGGGGTCATTTTATATATTGATTGATTGTAATATAGAATTGATCCCTCATTTTATATCCACATTAAAATTTCTTGTTTGTTTTTTGTTGTTTTTTTTTTCAAATTCTAATTAAGTATGAATCCACCTCTTCTCCATTGAGTAACACTGTCCATTTTTCTAAAATCCTATATTTTCAACATATGTTTACTTGAGTAATTTTCCAAATTTAGAGTTTGTCCAGCCCCCTCTTAAGTGTGGTCAGAGAAATCAAGCCACCCCTTAATTCCAAATCCTTTCACTTCTCATCTCACACCATCACTCCACATAGGCAGTGCTAATCTTTCTCTCCCGTCTCCCACCTTCTCAACATCCAATCTCAGCCCACTCCAAAAGCTAGTAATTAATTTTATTTTATTAGTTTGACTCCAAAAGAATCCAAAATAATGTTGGCCATAATAATTATTGATGAATGTCACAGAAATTAAAATGAACGAAATTGTCCCCAATCTTAAGCACTAATCTTTATTTTTGTAGAGATATTTTTCTTTAGGGTGGCCAATTCAGACTGGATGTTTTTCCTGGCTTTTTGTCCAGAACAATTTAGACGTTATTTCAGTGACCATCCATTTTCTTTATCGACAACATGTTTTTCTATTTTCCAGCACTGATATTTTCGATGATACATTGTCTCTTTCTTATCAGTGGGAAGTGGGGAAGGACTGGTAGTCTTGGTTTTGCTCAATCTTAATGGACTCCATCTAGTTAAATTTATGTTTGACTCTCTTTGGAACTGTTCATGATTTCATTTTATTATTTTGAAACATAATTTTTTTTCAATGTATTTCAATTTTAATTTTCTTGTCAACTTTTCAATTTTCTCTTCCTTTTTCCTTCTGATTAACTCCCTGAGGTCCCAGTGTTACACACTGATTTCAAATGAGAAAGTAGCAAATTAATAGGTACTTAGGGAAATTACAAAGAGTGTATATGTTATACAAGTTGAAAATCACAACAAAAGAAAATCCAGAAAAAGATTTACATCCAAGCAGCTGGGAAAGAATTTAAAGAAGGATGTTCAAACAATTTACTGTTAATTAAATATGAAAGATATAGAAATAACACCAGATTATCAAACAAATGTTTGAACAAAAAATCAAAGAGTAAACATCAGCAATAGAATGGAATATAATAAAAAAGATGAAGAAAATCAGAGGAAGAAATTGCAATCTATGTTTGGAAGAGAAACTGAAAATTATAGAATTCAAGAATGTGAAGTTTACAAACTGTTGCCACACTGATGCATTCCTTTTTTAAAAAAAAAAAAAAATGGAAAAAAGACCTGTTGGGCTTGGGAACAGCCAAATGAGAAAAACACCCATTTTGAAAATTTCACTGCATGAAACTGTTAATGAGTAAAAATAATATAATTTCATCATGTTCAGATATAAAATACTGTTTATATGTGCATGTAAAAATTCAGATATGAATAAAGACAAAAGGAAAAATTCAACAATAACATTTACTCGCTTTCATTTATCAGGTATTAAATTATGTCACTTAGCATCTTCCATAGTTTACCTTGACTTTCACAGTTAGCCTGAAGAATATTTGAGTGTTCTTAAATTTTGCAAACTTAACAATATTTTTACTTGTGTAAATGCATCAGACAAGAAATCATTCATATATATGTACCTAGGAAAATATGGTGACATGGTTGAATAATGGATTGTGGCTCAGATTGAGGAATCAGAGAGCCAAGTTTGAATTCTTTACATTTACATATGTGCTAATACCATTGGGAAAGATATGAATTGATTTCTTCTCCCCACTCTCCAGCCATGGGTGGAAACCCGTTTAGGAGCAGGTAAACTCTGAATCAAATCAGCCTCACTGTCACACAATATGTGGACTTGTATGCAAGTCACTAGTATCACTAAGTGAGGTTGTCAGGTCCCCATACATCAAAATCAACAGTAGAGTCCATTATTATATATTTTACTTTTCATTAATGACCTTCATGATGACATCAGGTTTCAACTTGGTATCTATGCTGATGACACAACCATATACTCCTGCCTCAATAGTCAGGCTGATCAGTCTGACAATGTCAAAATGGCAGTCAATATCCAAACCAACCTCAAGTCCATTGTTAACTGGGGCAAAAGATGGCTTGTTAATTTTAATGCCTCCAAAACTAAATTTCTCTCTATTAATCATCTAAGAGACCCCCCCTCTGCCCTCCATCAGCATGGCTGATGCTAACCTCCAGGAAAATGACTCATTGCACTTTCTCAAGATAACGTTATCAGCTGACATGAAGTGAAAAGACTATATTGAATCCATTGCTAGGTCAGCTGCTAAGAAAGCATGTTCACTGTGTCATGCAAGATAAATTTTCACTCCAGAATCTATCTTACATATCAATAAGTTTACCATTCATCCATACTTAGAATTTTGCTGCCACATATGATCTGATGCCCCTATTTACCTTAAGCTCTTGATAAAATCCAAAAAAGAATCAGTAATATTATTGGTCCTGATCTACCAGCTCAGCTTCAGTCTATTTCCCATCACCATAAGGTTGCCTCCCTTTACCTTTTCTATAAATATGTTCATGATAATTGTTCGGATGAGCTCTTCGCTATGATACCAAGACTTTTTGAATTTAAACGTAGTACTGTTTCCAGATTCTCTAAAACTAAACTGATGTCGAGACCTCATTTGCAGTTGAGCTGGCAAGATGTAACCACAAATTCTATGCTAACAGTTTTTCTCAAATTTCTCATTTGTGGAACTCCCTTCTGGCTCCATGCTTTCCAGCAAACTTTAATCTGCAAAAATTTGAATGCAATGTCAATTGCTATCTACTGTCCTCTTGATTACTCTTTCCTCTTCCCATTCATTATTAATGTTTCTGTTCCTAATTTTTCCACATCCTGTAACCTCTTATGTCTTAGTGGCTTTACTGCCTTGCATGGGGTGATACCAATAAAAAAAATACAGTGTCTTGTCAGCCATGATGCTTGTAATCACCCATTGAATAACTGAACATGTGTTTATAATACAGAAGAGTGCATATCAAACAGTACAACTGTAATTTAGATCTTGAGTATGTATACAGCCTGAAATGGAAAATAAATTGTAGTTATCTCAGTTTATACAGTAAATGACAATATAGAAAAGAATCAAATCTGCAATTTTAAGGAGATTTAAATCCACAATTAAAAATGTTAACAAATAATTGGTCAAATCCGTATTGGGATTCCAAAAACAATACTAATATCTTACAGGATACTTATAGTCAATTTCAAGACTAAATGATTTTTGATAGTAGTCAGTCACTATCCAAATTCTTCTTTCTATCTATAGGTTCTTCACTTGTTCTAATTTTTTCTTCTCTTCCTAAATCATGCTGCTTTTCTCTCTTTTGCTGAAGTAAATACCTATGTAAACTTGGTTTCAGTCTCGGCTTCATTCTGTTGGAGAAGATAGCCATAACTCAAGTCTTCCCCATGGTGTCATTGGTTTAACCATTATGGAGAGCCGTGTGATTGTTTCTGGAACTTTCCTTAGCCTCTCAAGTGATGTGAAGGAAGTTAGATTCATTGGACCTGATCTTGGAGGTAAGTGTTTCTCTCATATTTCTTAATTCTTTTTTTTTTTTTATTATTATTATTATATGCAGTTACAAGTTAAATAAGGTGTAACTCGGATACACACACACACACACACAAGGTGTGATGGGTAAATTGTCGCCATTTTATATTTTTAATTTTGTGCATGCACGTTGTTTGTTTTTGATCTTGTCAACTGCACTGTATAGTAGGGTCAGAGAAAAAGAGCTCCATAATGCAATTTACTCCAGCAGAAATTTGGAAACTGCATGCTATACAACAATATGAACATTTGAGAGGGTTTAGGTATCAGTCTGAGGAGAGTGCAGAGGATTCAGAAAGAGTTGGATGAATCTAATGGTGATTGCAAAGGTGTTTGGAGTGATCATTAATGATGGCAACATTATGCCTTCATTCATATTCCCACAGGGCCTCAGACTCAACACGGAGGCCTACATCAAATGCTTTAAGGAGGTAGTGCTGCTCTGGGTCAAGAAGGTGGCTGCTGGAAGGCCCTACGTCTGGCAATAGGATTCCATGCCACACAAGCAGGAGAACCAAGTCATAGCTGTGAGGCAATATCTATGGCCACATCACACCTTACATCTGGCCACCTAACTCTCCAGAATGAAAAACCCTTGATTATTGTGTGAGAGGCACAGTTTAACAAGCAACCAACAAAATTTCTTGTAACACCAAAGATGAACAGAAGGCAAGGATTATGGTAGCATTCACCAACTTAAACAAGGAGACCATCCAGGAGAGTTGCAAGAGATTCTGAAGTTGCCTGGAGGCTGTGGTTGAAGCCATTGGTGGTGGTGTTTTTTGTTTTTTTTTTAATGAAATTACTCTTTAGTATTTCAAGATATTTTTGTGTAATTTTGGTAAATATATTTAGATGAAAATTTATCCATCACACCCTGTATAAGTGTAGTAGTACTATGACTCTCTGGAACTTTCTAGAACTTGTTTTTGCTTATTTGTATGTTATGCTATAGGTATAAACTGTTAAATGCATTAAAAAATACATAAGTAGTATCCAATTACATCATAATTAATTGAAAAATAAATCTTCTGAAATATTTTGATGTTTTACCCTTATTGTGTATATGTTAAAATTGAATTTAATGCCTTTTTCATTCTTTTAGAGAAAAGTTCATCGATTTGACACAGGAACATAGGGTTACAAAACTGTGATAACCCTAATTTTATTTATATATATATATATATATATATATATATAGGGAAGAGATTATAGTTATTCCAATGAGAGGAAAGTATATATTTTAAAAAGAAGATAAATGTTTTTGGTTGAAATGTGTATTTTTTATTTAAAAATTTATATTATACTCTATTTTCCATAATTCTGCAGAATTTTATATATATATATATATATATATATAGAAAAAGTTTCAAATTAAAAAATAATAATGTTTTATTTTATGAAAGTATTTATTTATTTATATATATATATGATATTTCAAATTCTCCTCAATTTTTCATCAGAAATAACTGTTTGTTACAAATAAATTAAAATTACTGTTTGTTAGCAAGTAGCGTCCTTCGCGAGATGTGGACGTCACGTGAAATGGAACATCACAGGTGGCATTGCATGTGGGACAAACACTTCTTTACACAAGTGTGATTAGTGCAGCTCCATTGATTTAATATTAGTTTAATATAAATTTCTAACAGTCGATGATGCTGTAGAATACTAGAGATGCATAATTAGTGGGTCAGAGGTCAATTATTGCATCATTATTATTTGATTTCTGTTGGTTCACTAAAATGAATAATGGATAATTCAGTACAATTCTGGAAAGAAGTTTGCCTGTATTATAATACTTATGTCATATTGGTAATTTTTTTTTTTTAATTATATTCACTATTATATGTTGGCGATTTCTTCAAACATTCAACAATTTAGCTATATATTATACAGCACTTAATATTGTTAAATTTAACACTTTTTATTTCTAATAGGATATTTCATTATTTTTCTCTTTAGGTGCTCCTGATCTTGTTGTGAATGTTTTAAACCAAACTGATGATGACTCTTTCACTATGTCCATAGATGCAAGTGAACAGATCCCATTTCTCAGTACAGGTAACTTTTATCTGGATTGTTCCTCTCTGTTTTTCTATACTCTCTAATCAAAAATCATCTTCACTGAATCGTCTTCTACTATTATTATTATTATTATTATTTTTCAGCAAGGTTCACCCATTACAAGGCCCAGGGGCCACTCGTGGTAGAAGGTTACATTTGGAGGCTATTTGTGTGTATAAGAGTGGAAGATAACAGTTAACCCTAGCCTTGAACAGGTTAAGAGTGTAGTGATCAGGGAAACATCCTGTTGGGAGTCAGTTCCAAAGGGCAGTGGTCACAGGAAGAAGCTGCTCAAGTGGAACTTACTTCTTCCAATGGAATATGGAAGGAATGTGGGTGGTTTGCTAACATGTAAGTGGCAAGGCATGTTCTTTCTGTGAAGGTTTACCTCAACCAGGAAATGTAGTTCATCTGAGCACTTTCTCTGGAAGTAGAGCAGAGAGAGGCCTGCCACATCGCACCTGTGGCAAAGAGGTTGAAAGGCGGTTCCTTTGATTTCTGTTGTATACTCATTTCCTCCTGGGTCCCAACCAGAAACCTAAGGTCAAAAATGCCATCATAACATTTTCCTCTGAACATTTTTGTAAAAAATTAAACAACCTAAGATTACACACACACTTTACATAGATAAAGTGTTGTACTTGTAAGTACAATTTTTTGTATTTCTTTAAGGCATGGGCTACCAGGGATCCATTCAATGAGTTTATCAACTTTTTCAAATTAAACTGAGGGCTCCAATTACAACTGGAATTATTGATGTCCTCATGTGCCACATGTTTTAAATTTATTATTATTGCTATTATTAAACACTAGCCATTTGCATCATAAATAACTTCATCTTTTCCATACATAGTCCATAGATATTTTGGTCAAGTAACCACCAAAGTCATCTGTACCATACTCATTACCAAACTAACATAAGTGTTACTCATACATTAAAATATCAATTTTAATGTAATTAATCAGTTTTATATGAATAAATGTTAAATTTGATTACTTATGAGTTTTACAAAAAAATGTAATCCTGAAGCACTCTACATTTTTGTAAAGTATCCACTTTTCATTGTCTGTAACAATTCAAAGTCTAATTGATAATTCAACTGTGCAAAAATATAAAATGTTTTGTTAATTTTATTGTTATAATACCAGAAAAAATTTTTTTGTTTTTAATGTACCATATATGCTGGCATACAAGGTGACTGGCCATATAAGACAACCCCAAATTTTCAAGTTAAAATGTAAGTTTCATACTATATTCAACATAATAGACAACCCCCCCCCCCATCATATTTCAAAATGTATTGAATTTATTAAATAAATTCAGTAAGCATATACTTTCTTTTCAATCAAATTTTAATGAAAAAACGTTAGGGGAGATATTGTCAATTAACTACCAGACTGAAAACACAGCACCCACAAATGATGTATTGTAGATATAATACCTCATGGGTGTTTGCTGTGTTTTTGGTAGGCTATTATGGTAGCCTGAATGGCTTTTTCCTGCTAACCAGCCATTCATTCCACTGTTCTTGAATGTGATTTTTTAAACGGCTTGTTGAGACACACATCTCCCATGCTAACAACTTACCATAAACTACAGGATTTAAGGTTTGCATTTTATACTTGGGGTATAAGATGGCCCCTACTCTTGGGAGAGGGGGTTATGATTAAAAGGTAACCTTGTATGCTGACATATACAGTAATTAAAACTAAACCCTCCTAATGCCATCTAGTAGCAAAACAAAACAAACTTTTTATGCTACCAAATATTTTTTAGGTACACAATAGTTATGTAATTATTACTGAATGAAATGAAGAGAATTGTAAAATTATAATCTGTTTTTCAGTGCAATTTTTGAAGAAAGTGGCTGTCTATACAGTCTTTAGCGACACACAGCCTGAAATGGAAGGAGATCTTGAAGAGGGAATGTTGGTAAGATTTTCATTTCATAATTTTTTTAATAATGCAGATTTTTAGATAATTTCCTTATTTTGGTGTTTTATCAGGATAGATCACAAAAGTTTCAGTACCTACTCAGTGCAAGTTTTTATGATCATTTTTTTTTTTTTTTTTTACACAAAAAATAGTGGGGTTGCACTATACACAGGTAGTTTTTTTGAAGAGGTTAAAAATCATGCATTTTTGGTGACTGGTTGCAATATACACAGGTATCTAAATCTTCATATCAGGTATTTTATGGTAAGTGGTTTTTCTCACTATTTTGCAGTAGCTTTGTACAAAAAAGAATGAAAACCTTTTATTTGCTATAAGTCCAGGATGATACCCAGTATTGCAATTTTTTACTATGGTAGACTCACTAGTATTGCTTAGAAGCTGGGCTCAAATTATACACAAGCTATATGAAAAAAATCAGATTTTTCACAAAAACCCTTTACATAAATGATCTACCTAAGAATATACTCCGATCATTTGTAAACATCTATGCCAGTAATACGATGATATACAGGTGCACCTCTAATAGTCTTGACAATCAAAGACTGACCTCTCTTTTGATCTAACATTAACTTCCCAGAGGGAAACAATTGACTGGTTACATTCAATCACTAGAATCTTAAACTGTTCGACCATTATCTTCCCCTCCTATTGATATAAACTACCCCTTATTGTAACCCTCTACTTTGAGTGACCACTGGGTTTCGTACAGGGTGAACCTTACTGTAAACAAAAAAAAAAAAAAACACTTTTGTAAAAGTTGTGAAAATTAAGGATAATGTTATTTTTCTTCAAGAATAAATACATCATTATTCAACTTTTTAAATAAGGTATTTATTAATCAAAATATAAAATGTTGTGTTCTATTCCTAAATTAACTATGTATAAAGAAGTTTATATGAAGGTTGACAATAGTGGTAACAGCTTCTTACTACTACATTGTCAAGTAGTCATAAGAGAGTGGACCTACTAGTTATTTATTAACAAAAACTTATATATTTAGTCTTCAAGTTAAAAAAAAAGTCTTTAAATTTCAATATTTGTGGTATATGCTGAATGATACTTCAGGCTATAAGTTTAAATTTTTCTGATGACACGTTTGACACTTCTTTGAGTTTATAGTGTTGATCTATTTGAACTCTTGTCATCATTTTGGTCATTATAGTCATATTTTGATTAGTGGACTCTCCAGCCATCTTCAGGTGTCTACTATATTCAGTATTCTTCATAGAATTTTGAAATATACCTTTTATTCAGTCTGCATTCTCATTCCATGAGGATATCTCTTATCACTTTATTTTTTTACTTTATCCTTGCTACTTTTTTTTTCTGTACAAATAAATACTGAGATTGAAGTCACAAGGTAATTAAATGCATTTAACCAATACTTTTATCCCATTAAGTGTTCAATAGAATAATGAGATGATATAATTTTGAAACCTTAAATGTAATGTGATTTTATGATATAACAAGAATAGACTTACTGTAAAAAAACAAAAAAACAAATTTTGAAATGAATAAAAATCAGGACCATGGCTCATCTGATAAAGCTAGTTGAATATTTAATGTTGTGCCTTTAAAACAGCTGCTAAACTTTTTTTGCAAAGATAGTTACTTTTATGAACATTAAAGATGCTTTTTCTAATGCCAATCCTTTACTCTGGTTTCATTTATTGACACTTACTTGTGAACTAGGGCTGGCTCAAGGTACTGACAATTTGGGCAGTCACCAATGGTGCCATCATGCCGCCATGTGTTTGGGATCTTCCACTGTTTGCCAAGCACACTGTACTTAATTCTATAGTTATCTTAAAACAATACAATTATTCCCCACTAATCAACATTTTTTTGTTTGTACTCTAAATTTTTTTTTTCTTTTTAAATAATTTAGTCTGACATTCGTGGCCCTGATATGCGACTTATGGGTCAGTCCGTATTCCAGTTTACACAAGATGGTGAATGGCAAGGCACATTAATTGTAAGTTTCAAATTGTTTTCTCCTTTCTCTTTCTCTCTAGATTGAATTGCATTGTTGGATAATTAAATGTCATACATCACAGGTTTACATGATATAGTAACAAATGAAGTCTTTGATTGCTTCATTCCATAATTATTCAATCTTGTTCAATACTATTTCAGTTTCTTTGAATCACTTTTAATATAGAATTTTAATGTTTTGCTTCCTTATATCAAAACTGCCATCTTTGCGATGCCATAAATGTTACACAGATCTAAGTGTGTAATTTCTTCTTTATTAGCAACTCAAAGTCACCTAGAACATCAGATCAACCACATAAAATATATCCTTGGACAATTCAGAAATTTTCCATGGTGGACTGTTTTGACACAGCAATAGCCATTGCACATCAGGCAACTGCTATATACTCTGCTTCAATTAAGACCACTTTCGGATTCACTCTACACCAACACCTGTCAGATGTGAACGCTATGAAAGCAAAATTCAAAATGAAAAACTCTCTGTGCAGGGCCTGCAAGCATCACATTTGGCTCACAATTCCACCAAAAATATAAAATAAAATTTAAATGTCAGAGCCAATCCCAAACATTGCCATTAAAGCAAAGGCATAACAAAAAATACCAAGTTATGTATCACCCTTATTGCTTAAAAGTGAAGAATGATTCACGAACCCAAACTTGGATAAAATAATTTGAATATCAGAACACCATCAAGAAATAATTTGAATATCAGAACACCATCAAGAAATAATTTGAATATCAGAACACCATCAAGAAATAATTTGAATATCAGAACACCATCAAGAAATAACAATAATGAACTAAATTTTTTACAATAAACACATTTTATAAAATAATTTTAGTGAGATTACAAGAAAAGAAAGTTCTATTTTTGTGTGTCATGTAGAATGTGTGTATTTGCTTCATGTAGAGTTTATAAGTGGCTTACTGCATAAATTAAAAGTTCTTTCATTGAGTAGCATGTGTTTGATGCATTGAGCTGCTATTGTTCAACATCTGACCAGCTGATTTAAAACTGCTATCACAACACCTTATGGTGTGTCTTTGTGTGTCTAGATTGAAATTTTCTGTTCATGGACAATTGATGTCTGTGCATTGGCAGTCTTTTTTCTATCGGCAGCTGCTGCTGCTGCTTGTGATTGCAAAAAAGTGCGTGATTAAAATTTTACTTTGTTAAATTAGATAATGTCCCTACAAAAGACCCTACTCGGTGACATTCAAAGCAGTACATAGGCAGTTCAGAGTTCACTAATGGCCTCTCAGTCAACTGACCCAACAAGCTTTAACGCCAGGCCCATATACAACCAACTCTCCCATCTTCCAAGCCATGTTCCTCACCTACAAAAGAGACATTTTTCCACCTTGATTGCTAACAATACAGATAATTTTACTTTAACATATTGTCTCCTTTCCTTTCCATTTCACTTGCAATATTTTGTTGTTTTTGTTTGTTATTCTTGCACCCATACACACAGGACATAACTTAACCAAAGAATTTGGCATGAAGGTGTCTTGGCAGTTAACTTTGTTTTACTTCTGAAATAAATATAGATTTTAACTTGTGCAATATTTCAGTATTTTGAATTCCTCCTGATTCATTTCTCTTAATTTAACAGATAAAAAAGAACACTCCACCAGTGAAAAAAGTGAAGATTTTTTCAGCTTCCCACCAATATGAACCAGACACTGAAGTACTTGATTTGAAAAAGTATATCAAGCATCAACCTGACTCTACCATTTTTGCTGTACTTGCTATTTCTGTAAGTGTTTTGTTTATTTTAGAATATTTTTCTTGTATTTGCTTTGCTTCATAAACTTCTTCTCTTTTTACATTAAATATACTTAACATATTCTATAAAAAAAAAAATGTATCAAAGGAAGTGAAAAAAAATAGTAGAAAACAAATACTTATTGATTGGCTATTGGCTATCATGTTAGTCTCAGAAGACAATTTCAATTATCAACAGGAACATGACATAAAATTATTTGTGTTACTCAAAAAAAAATATACTATTAAGCAATGGATTAAGTATGTAATTTTCTGAGACTATGATCCTGATAGATTTGAGTTCTCAGGAAATTTATAAAATAGATAATTCTAATTCTGAGTCCTAAATTTCTTACTACCTTCTGACAACTCCAAAGAGTTTACAACTCCCCTTTGGTGAGAAGCAGTAAAAATATAAAGTATCCAATGAAAACAGTCTTTTTAAATTCAACATTAATTCCATTACCAAACTTACTCACACACCCATGAATGACATTGGTGAAAAAAAAACAGATGAAATTAAGGAAAGATAACTCATTTACCGAAAGGGAGATAATTATAGTATGAAATCAAAGCCATTTGTAATAAAAAATCAAGTACAAAACTAAATGAACCTTCACTTAGTAAATAATAAAACTGTATGGGAATTAAAAATTGCCCTTTTCTGGTTTCTTTCTCTTAGATAAAAGGATAGTTTCTTGTTTCAGCTTCCAAATTTTTTTTTAGTTGTTTCACCCCAAGCAAGGCAATAATGACACTAGTGGTTTGCAGGGAGTGAGAAGACTTTAATGAGCAAAAGGACAATAAAGGAAAGAGATTCGGGGGAAAATAGGAGATGGCAATTGACGTTGCATTTAAATTTTTGAAGATTGTAAGTGAAAGGGAAGAAAGAAATTGAAAGGGAGTTCCACAGGAGAGGAGTGCGAGAAAAGAAACTATTAGAATAGAAGTAATGGTTGTATTTTTTTAAAAGCTTCTTTTAAAGTAATTTTTTAATCATCAAGTAGTAAATGATCTTTTCAATATGAATGTGAGTTTATTGCATTCTGGCTCAGAATATTCTAGGAGCAAAATTTGATTTAGAATGGATATAACAAGAATATTTACACTATTTTCATCGTTCAGATTGTTGTCCTCAGCTTTATTGCTATATTCACAATGTTTCAGCCATTGTACCCTCCGGCCTTCTTCAGGTGAAACTATAGTCAAAACATTGTGAATATGGCAGTAAAGATGAGGACAACAATCCGAACAATGTAAATACAATTACATTACCTCATCTCAGAAATATAGACAGATAATGGGAATATGTTTTATTTATTCTTTTAAGGAATAACATGGCAGTGAATATTGTCTTCTTTTTAATGTGGTTTGTATAATGCCCCTAATACAAATTAAGTGAAAAGTTTTGTTTATTTTCATCAAATGAGAAAGGATAATGAAGTGTAGCCACTTTTAATCCTGGTTTAATTGTTGGTTTCAATCTGCATAGGAATGATTGCAAAACACTTGCCTCTTCTTAATTTATAGGCTGAAGCATACAAATCCATGTTTGCTGGGATTTTTTCCCAGCCAATAAAATAGTCTGGTTCTTAGTTTCATCTGACTCAGTCCCAGTCTGTCTTTTCTTGAAGTCAAAATGCTATTCACTTGTCCGAACTTGCTTTTGTGTATCAACTCCAATTCTTGGTTTGTGAACTTTTTGCCACATTACTGTTAATTTGCCTTGTATATATTGTTTGCTTGCTTTATATTATTTTTGCTCTGTTCTTTTCTTCTTATTATTTCTTATTGCAAACTTCTGTTACTTATTTTGTATTTGATCCTGGCTACTAATTCCACATAAATCTAAAAATTTCAATTGGAAAGAAAAAAAAGACAAAAAAAGACAAAAATTACCTTTTAAAACATTTAATTAAATCTTCACTTCAAGATGAATTGATATTTTATTTTTAATGCTACAGAAATATTTTAACGATGTTTCAAAACAATGTCTATTTTCAGGATTTGGACAGTGAATTCTTTATGAACTTATGGCTGGGTAACCTGTACATCTGCCTAGAGATTGCTGGAATGACTGTCAATCATCACAAGTATAAAGGAGAGGTAAAATATGTTACTTTGTCTATTTTATTCTTTTCTATGTTTTATATACAATATTGTTTTTTATTACTGTAAACCTTATTTTTAGTGAGTACACATGTTTTTGTTACTATTCCTGTTTTTTTTTTTTTGTTTATTTTTTTTATTAAATATTGAAGTTAATAACACTCGGATTTACATTCAGGTATGAAAATGAAGCTAGCAAGTATAGATTTGTAGAAGTCCCAACCAGAAAAACATGTTTTTCTTAATTTTATCATGTCAGTCTGTCACCATAGCTGAACTGGTAGAGGCACACTTCGGCTTAAGAAATGGTTTACCTGAGGTTTTTTACCTCAGGCAAACCAGGAATTGAATCTGCATCCCTTTTTTAGGGATGCAGATTCGATTCCTGTCAGAGATGCAATTTTTTCTTTCTTTTTTTTTTTTTTTTTGTCAGACCTCAATTTAGGCTGATTGTTAATTTTACTGTTTAATAAAATAAAAACTGGGATAACAACTGAAATGCATGCATCCTCTAAAAATAGCATTTATAGTAATAAAGAAATAATGTTGGATAAAAAAAATCCTTTCAAAAAATATTGTACATATTTTACTGAGCATCATGTGTCTGTATGAACAATAGCAGGCAGATTTCAAATTCAACTAAGGCTATTGTATTCACAGTAATGCCCTTAGAAAAGGTACAGATCCATTTCTTCTTCAGCTATGGGTTAAAATAGCAAGGCAGATTGGGTTCTTTTGTCTTTGCAGTCTAAGAAGATTTCAACACAATTTGAAAAAAAACAATCTCTGGGGAAACACATGATACATCAAGTACTAAGTGAAAATGATTACAAATGTTTGGATCACTTGAAAACTATGTTACTGACCAGAATAGCATGGAAATAGTGGGTGGATGAATCTAGGGTGTGAAAAACTAAAGAAAATTAAATTTTACAGAAATAATAGTGTTTCATCCACAACCCCAAAAACAGTGTTTAAGGTTTATGATATGTAGTGGATTGGTAAATAGGATTGTACCTATTTGCATTTGTTAAGTAGAAGAGAAATAGTGTATAATAAAGTAAGTGAAAAGGCAGAAGTTGACTACTGATCATGTGTCGTAGAACAACACAATACAACAATATAGTGTCACCAATAGGATATTTAAGTCAACTTGGATGAACCAGAATTTGTTGAGACTTGAATCTGCCCAGGCTAGGAGTAACAAAAATTGAAAGTTCATCATGCAAGAGAGGGATAAAATGAAATAACTGACCTCATTCTAGCTATTATGAAAATTTCTGTTATGGCATATCCCAAACAATTGGAGAATTTGACTTTCATTGAAATTTCAGAAATTATAAATAGAAGACAAATCTATAGATGATTAGCGGGAGTGGCTCGGATACGGAAAATGAAATGTGACCAAGATCTCCATTAAAAAGAACAGGACATAAAACCTCAAGGAAGAGAGGAGGAAAAAGGTTATAGAAGAAGTTCAAGAACAGCTAAAGGCATTAAATCTCTTTGGTTCATGGAGATGTAGTGGATTAGTAAATAGGATTGTACCTATATAAGTTAAGATAAAGTGTATATTAAAGAGAGAGACAGGTAGAAGTTCTACTACTGATCACATGTCATAGAACAGTGCAATGCAACATGAGAAATTATAACTCCTGAGAAAGTGGGCAAATAGAGAACATGATGCGGGAGGAGGATGTATTAGTTTCAACTGTTAATGTGGACACTGAAAATATTTACAACAGTTTTTCACCCAATGCAAGTTTTCAAAGAGTATTGACCTTTCAGTCGAACAAATCCTGGATATCACCTGTGCCATCATTGCAAAAGTTGTTTGACAAAGTCAGGAGAAATAAAAAAAACTTTTTATGATTAATTTTTACCAAGAAATCTGCAATTGTGAAACTTAACTCATGACTCTCCAAACACATTATTCCTCCTCCCAAATATCAACACATAGAGACATTCTTATAAAAGTGTTTTGACTATGTATGTTTTCTGAATAATATAGATTAGGAAGCCAATTGGCCACATAAAATGCACCCCAAATATGTGTAGGTGGGGTGTGTATATGATGGAGTAGTAAACATTCCATCTCTATATATTTGCTTCTTCCAAATGCCTAGGATCATTTCAATCATATTTTGTTATAAAATTTATATATTGTTTCCCCAAATGAAGAATTTTAAAAAGATCTTATTACTTTTTTTTAAAAGAATCTTATAAATCCTGCATTTATAGCTTAGATTTTTATTTGTTCATGGCTTAAGCCTAAAGCATATGCCACCATGTTGAAATTGGCCCAAGAAATGAAGAATGTTGAATTCTGAATCTCTTCACACCCTCATATAGAAAATACCTTTCACTTAATTGTAAAAAAAAAAAAAAAAAAATATGTTTATAAAACTCATTATTGTTTATTATAATTACTTATTCAGATAATATTTGTTATTTCAGATTTCCAGACCTGGAGATTGGTATTGCAAGTCAGAAACTTATGGATTTTGTAAGTTATAAAAATAGTTGAATTGTGAAATACATAAAATTTCTCTCAGTTTAAGAAATACCCTGTAAAAGAATTGTTTCTGTCTTTTTATGTCCATGTTTATAGCTGTGGACCTATTTTGCAATAATGTCAAATTTTACAGGATATCATTAATTTAAGATGTTAGTACCAAAGGCAATAAATGTCCTGAAATTCACAAGGCAATGTAAATATATACCTCAGTAGTTTTTAACATGTTACAACTATTATAAACAAGTTTTAGTTCTTCAAAATTATTTAAACTTGATTTTTACTTCTAACTTGAATTTTGACTTTCTGATTATTT